CTTATATGTAATTGTAAAAAACGCCCATAAAAACTGCAGAACATGAAATGTGAAAACGCAACTTTGCATGTATCTCCGCATGGACTCAACAAACCTGCACGACAGATTTGGTGATGATCCATCAACAGAGGACGAAGTAGTGGTAAAAACCGCAAAACGCAAAATTTGTATGTATCCCCCGCATGGACCTAATAACCTCCATACAAATTTTGGTGAAGATCCATCCACACTCTGCGAAGTAGTTACAAGGACATACATCAGACATTACTATTACACTTATATAGATGTACATAAGTAATAATTCTGATATTCCACATGTGCCAAAACTATGCAAACAATTTTTAATCTGAGCTTGATAAAATAGGTGTTTTTATATGGAATATTAATTATATACAAGTTTATAGTTTTCCATATTTTCTTAGCAGTTTTGAAGAAATATGACATTATTAAGAGTAAAAAACACGAAGACCGAAAGTAAAATTAGTTTCAGTAACACCGTTACCATCACTAATGTCTGATGTGTTACAGAAACTAATCGGTTGTAACTAATAATAAAGATTTTACTTTTCATTGTGCCAAAAAAACTTCGATTTTTGTGATTTTACCTTTAGTATAGTAACACATTGTGCCTGAAAAAAAAAGAGTATAATATGACACTACTTTAAACAATAAACAACATACGACCTCCATTCGATAGGCAGCGACCTATAAATCCCTTACCATTGTTGTTGAAAGATTTTATGCAATAATAAGTTTGTAGATTTAAACTTGCTCATTGTTTAAAATAATACAATGGTTTCATATCAAAGTTTCGACTAATAACATTTACTTTTTTCAAGTATAGAATACGTTTTAAGAAGTAACAATTAATTCATATTTAGATCAATGAACGTTTCGCGTTTTACATGCTAAAGCCGTAAACGTGTTTTATTTATATTTTGCGGTAGTGCTCCTCTAACTTAGACTCCCCTTTCTGCCTAATAAATTTATAAATACCTGATTTAGACGTACACAGCTTACAAAATATAAGATAGATCTATAAATACGTGATTTAGATCGTTTACACTGACGGACACAGCTTACAAAATACAAGGTAAATCTATAAATACCCATATTTAGATCGCCTTAACTGGCGTACACAACTTACAAAATATAAGATAGATCTATAAATACCTAATCCAAATAATCTAAACTGGCGTACACAACTTACAAAATATAAGATAAATCTATAAGTAACTAATTTAGATCGTCTAAACTGATGTACACAGCTTACAAACTACAAGATAAATCTATAAATACGTGATTTAGAACGTTTACACTGACGTACTCAGCTTACAAAATACAAGGTAGATCTATAAATACCTGATTTAGATCGTCTAAACTGACGTACACAGCTTACAAAATATTATATAAATGTATAAATACCCTTATTTAGATCGTCTTAACTGGCGTACACAGCCTAAAACGTATAATAATATCTGAAAATAACTCTTTATCTTTCAGTTTAAAGAAACACCAATCATTAGTGTTTATGTAGAAAATGACTATTTTAGTTTAACTTAAGAATTAGGAACTTAACTGATCGCAGTGTTGTATGGCAGAGTAATGTTGTGTAGGTTACACAGCGGAAAGCCAAAATTATTAAAAAATAGAACTAAAAGTAACCAATTTAAAGTTTTAAGAAGTTCAGTAACTTGTTGACGAAACCAATGATTACAGCCTTTAGACAGTACCTTCGGAAAAAAAGTGTGTCACGGCAGGATCTCCCCTTCCAGCTTCACTGACAGCAATGACACTGACTGTGTATCGACTGGCAGGTTTGAGGTCACGCAAAGGCAATCTGTGCGTTGTCTAGAGCAGTAAAAAAAAGGTACTTACATTTTGATGAAATAAAAAAATTAATGAACAAAACATGGAATTTTATAAAATCGTTCACAATCGCGTTTCGTCACTTACAAAGCTGCGTTTAGATCGTAAAGGTGCGTTATATATTCTTACAAAATTAGTCATTTTTGCTTTAAATTATTTTTTCTTAGGATTTCACAGTAAAATCGGAAAACCTTACAAGTGAGAAACAGCGCGATTTTAATACTATCATGTTTATTCATTTAGAATCTTTTTTGTTTATTTGATTTATTTTACATAGGATTCGATATTTTCGACCAGAAATGCTTCTTATGCGACACATGACACCATAAAGGTTGAACTGCCTCTATTTGCGACACATGGGCTAAACGGTCGTCCATAAAGGTTGAACTGCCTCTTATGCGACACATAGGCTAAACGGCCGTCCATAAAAGTTGAACTGCCTCTTATGCGACACATGGGCTAAACGGCCGTTCATAAAGGTTGAACTGCCTCTTATGCGACACATGGGCTAAACGGCCGGTCATAAAGGTTGAACTGCCTCTTATGCGACACATGGGCTAAACGGCCGGTTATAATTTTCAGCTGTTGATCAGGGTGTTTGTTTGTTTTGTTGAATTTCGCGTAATGCAACGCGAGAGCTATATGCGTTAATCGTCAACGTCACACGCCGCCAACTCTTCAGCTACTCTTGTCAGGCCGAATAGTGGGATTTTATTACATTTTTTATCTTACATTCCTACAGTTTCTCTTTCTTTTAAGCACAAAGCCACACAATGGGTTTTCTGCTCTCTGTCCATCGCAAGGAATCAAACCCCAGGTTTTAGCATTGTAAGATCGTAAACTTACAGCTGACCCACCGGGGGGGGGGGATCATACGAGCTTTAATA